TCTCTCCTGAGGAGAACGGAGTCCTGTCTTGTGCCCCGCTGCACTCTGCCGCCAGCCAAGGTATCTCTGGGGTAAAACACCACAGTGCTGTCTTTGGCCCAGCAGCGAGGGTCAGAACTGGCCTAGGCACCATCTAACTGGTTATATTGGGATACATATTCCAATAAATCTGAAATGTAACTGGAGCAAAGTTATGAACTTTGAAGTGTAGTCAATGTGCAACATCCATGGACAAATAATCTGAATTATGGCTCTACAGATCATGCCATCACTACCACTTCCTAAACTGGAGCAACCCTGATAAAGAAGGCTTCTTTGGATAACTCTCTTTATTGACTCCTGAAAAGTATAACATGTATCATGACAAGTATCTGCTTCTAGAAGAGATTTTCACAGGGGACTCTCCATATCCAGAAGTTAAGTTTATTCAATATCTGTGAGCACCTAATATGATATGTGACCATTTTTCTGTACTCTCCATTACAAAACAGCTGATAAAGTCCTTCAGATCAATTCATTTATTTTAATTTGTTCTTTTATCACTCATCCCAGAGTTCCTGGAACAAATGATCTCCCAGCTGAAATGAATGGAAATTAAAGGGCTTATTCTCTGCAAGTGCAAAGTCAACCATCAAATACATGGCAGAGAAAATGCAGTGGGACAGCAGCAGGAAATAGTCTCCTTCAAAAAGTGCTACTTAGACATGATCCACCTTCCTAGGGACCTCTAACATGGTACTACAGAACAAATAACTCTTGAATAAACTCAACGTGACACAGAGGTAAAGGCAAAGACCTTTACAATATCAGAATAGCTCCACTTCCCAATGTGATCAACATATACTAGAGAGGAGTAGCCTGAAACACTGTAAAAATGCCACCAGTGCCTAAAATCCAGGCGTTATTTGTCTTAGCACAGGGTTTTAATAAAATACCTTACACTGTAGCCATTGAGTTAAACTTGTCTGGGACTTCCCTCTAGCACTGAGGCAACAGGGAATGAAATGGTCTCAGTTTTACTCCAAACACTGTCATCCTCAAACAATGGCAGCCGCATTCAAACAGCATGTTGCAGCATTGTCCAGTGGCTGTGATAACCCCTGGACTCCTGACACTATTAATTGGCACAAGCCAAAAGTATTTCTGAGTTGTCTTCAACGTTTGTTCACATAGACAACTGGCTTTCACCAATTAAAAAATAAAAAAAAAGTCCCCAAACCAAACCAAGAAAGAAATCTCATTGAGATATTTAATTAATATAGTTTCTGTGTTGCAAGAACCTAAGGGTCCTTTTGCTTAAAGGCGAGTTCCTACTTGCTACATCCCTGCTGTCTGCTCTGTGTGTGTTATTAGCTATAACACTGACAAAGGCACTTGACAGTACTTTAATTAAAGACTCTCCCAAATAAAGTTTAATTAAAAGCTATACTGTAGGGCTTGAACCTCCTCCATGTATGAAATATTCTCTTTTTTTTTTCAGAGGTGTATAAATAAATCAAGGATTTTTAGTTTTCTATTGCTTAAATGGATTTTGCTTTTCCAGTTTCATTACCAGTATGAAAGCACCAACCTACTCTTCTGATCACTGTTGGGAATGCATGCTAATTAGATGTCCGATGCTAATTAAATTTCCTGATATAGGAAATCTATAGTAACTTCACAGCTCTTTTGTATCTTCAAAGGCGGGCTCCCACAGTCACCAATAGCAGAAAAACAACAGAATATCAACCTGTAGTTTTAGTCTTCTCTGAACTATTGAAGCAAAATTGAAAATAATGAAATCTTGAGTTTTAAGGTCAAGAAAGAAGCACTACCTAAGAAAATAAGGTGAAGAAACCCTCATCTGTATAACTGCTATATTGAATTTTTAAAAGATCAAAGACTACACATCCATCTATCCTAGGGCACTAAGATCTCAATCATAGATTTTTTTTGCTATCAATCATCTTGCTGCTTGAAATATGAACCGTACTTTCTGCATAGCCATTGCAGCTGTCTGTGTTGGCTTCCGATTTCCTCAGCTGGCTCACAAGGAGTAGATATGCAAAAGAGGAAGGTTTGTTTCCTATTAAGTTACAGTTCTGCTATATCACAGACAAAACATACTTTGTCTAGTTGAATAAACCCCAAAAATGCAGCAAAGTGTGGATAGATTAATGAAGTCACATATTTTTTACTGGTCAAATATATGCTTTACAAAAAACAGTGGTAAAGCTGTTTTGATTTATCCTTGTGAGCATATGTATAGAACAAGAAGCATATAATTTTGATGGAGTGTTTTTCTAATAAATTCACATCATCTACATAATTTGAATTATACAAGTCATAATTACATTATAATGTAGCTATGTCATTAGAAAACTTTGTGCATATTTCAGATAAAACAATATGTAGACACTACATTATTAATTTTTTTACAAAAAATGTAAGTTAAATATATATATATAAATCCTAGAACACTTCCAAAACAACCCCAAGACTGACCTAACACAGAGTTTATAGAATATATTTAACACATGTCAATTTTTTCAGCTTTAATCGAATTCTGCTTTACAGGTACATCAATGACATGACTTTAAAATAACGTAATTATTCACACTGAATCTTCACAGAAACTTCAACACCCTTTATTATCTTTAAATCAGTACCGTTGGTTGTCTAATTTTCTGTGCTTCTGTTAGTACTCTTAGATTGGCAGGGGCCTTCACTCAGGAGCTGCTCTAATCAAGGCTGTACAAGATTTAATGCTCTCCTGGTCACCATGTCATTCTACCTTGCCAATTATTTAGAAATTTATTTGTGTACAGAACCACCGAATCACAGAGTAAGCTGAGTTAGAAGGGACCCTCAGGGATCACTGAGTTCAGCTCTAAGCCCTGCACCTACCCCAAGAGTCACACCATGTGCCTGAGTGCACTGTGCACATGCTCCTTGAACTCTGTCAGTCTTGATGTCATGGCCACTTCCCTGGGGAGCCTCTTTCAGTGCCCAATCTCCTCTGAGTGAAGGAGATTCAGCCTGAATGTCCCCTGAGGTATCTGTGGGCCCCTCCCTTGGGTTCTGTGCTGGCCACCACAGAGAAGAGATCAGTGTCTGCCTCTCCTCTTCCCCTCAAGGGGAAGTTGCAGACTGCAATGCGGTCTTACCGTCAGTCTTCTCGATGCTGAACAGACCATGTGAACTCACCTGCTCCTCAAGCCCCTTCACAAATCTCATGGCCCTCCTTTGGACACTCAGTAATAATTTAATGCCTTTCTTAATATTGTGGTGCCCAAAACCACACACAGGACTCAAGGTGAGGCCGCCCCAGTGCAGAGCAGTGAAGGACAATCCCCTCCCCATGCTCAACTGGGGATGCTGCGCCTGCTGCACCCCAGGACTATTTTTCCCTATGTGTCTGGTGTCTCCCTTTTGATGAACTTTAATTCTGATATTTTGCAACCATATTAGATTGTATTGGTGGAGGGTCTGGTATCAGTTTATGATATCTTCACCTATAATAATGCTTATTATAGATACATATCTTTTATCCTTCTAAACCTTCTGCTTAATATGTATGATTCATGCACGTAAAAATGCAATAATTTCACTAGATTATGAAAAAATATAAGCTTGACTGAATTACAGATAACAAGACGTGGAAACGGTTCCATCTTTTAAATCACATCTAAACATATTTGCACTGTAATATTCTTAACTTCTACATTTTTGCAAACAAGTCCATGTTCAGCTATGTTTTTTCTGATTTGTTCAGTTGTCCCCAAGGAAAACCTCCTCTATAACAGCAGCAACTATCAGTGGTTTGTTTTTTTTTTAAGCTCCTTGAGTTAAGAAGGTAATGACAGGAAAAAGAAAATGGGAGTAAATAACTGCCCATTTGTCAAAACTGTTTTCTATTCCTGAGGTGAAACAATAAAGAGCTAAGCTGGTTACAGACACGAGTTGCTGAAAAAACTTTTTCACACGTGCAATCAGTAATTGGAATTTGGCAGCCAGATTCTTCAGATATTCTGCCTCAGTCTAGACAGGTGTGTGCTCCCAATTAGAGATCAAAAGTCTGAAAGGGAATTTCTGTTGGCTTCTGTGCTTCTGGGTATCAAAATACTGGCTATATTCTTAAATTTCCACTTGTCCACATCCATGCAGCACAAGACTGGTGGTAAATAAGGAATCAGAGTGCAAGAAAGGAGATAAGAAACTATGAATATAGATAAATCATATGAGATGATGGAAACAAAATGGGAAAAAAAAAAGGTTTTTCTTTGGCAAGGTTAAGGGAAAACAGAGTGATTAACTGAGAAGCCTAGATTGTATCTAATTTCAATAAACTGAGTAAGTTTGGGACTATTTTCTTGGAATTCACAAATCATATGAGTTGTCACTGAATTCTCCATAGGACTTTTGAATGCCCTTACCCTCTGTGCAAGGTTGGCCACGTTAATGATAAGCTGTTTATCTAAGTTACACCCACCATGTGTTAGAGAGACTGCTATTTGGATTTGGCTAAAACTTCCAGGATCAATAGAGAAAATTATGTTCCAGTGCTTGCAAGCCTTCCCCAGCCTTGTTTAATTTATTAGCATAATTGTAGCTAGGAAATTTAGGTGTCTGCTAAGATATCTGATGCAGAGAAAAGGAATGCAGAAAGAAATAATCCCACACCAACTCCAGGAGATAAGGAGACAGAAACAAAGAATAAATAAGGAAAAATAAGAATAAATCAGGATAAAGAACATGATGAAAAGAGAAATGCAAGATAGAGTAATCAAAACCAGAATGATCTGTGGCATCCCATATATTTAATCTTTTAGCATTTAAAATTGTCTCACATTTCCCAACCCTCATCACTCTTCTATTGTCATTAAGTGTTTGTGAAACTTGCAAGTGTAAACTTAAAGCATTTTAAAGTCTTATTGTAAACTTAAAGCATTTTTAAAGTCTCCAAAATGAGTTATAAAAAAAGAATAATGGTGTATTACCACTTCAATTGAAAGACATTAGAGATCTTGCTTATCATCCTAAATTCCTAATTCTTCAAGGTGATGTTACAATAGTACATAATGTTGCCATTTCTGAGGCAGTTTGGACTGTGTGACTGTTTAAATGAATGAATATTACAGATGCAAATTCATATGAAGCAAATTAGAAAACATACAAATTATACTAGCTGTGGAGTTCTCTTTTCATCCATATGTGAAGTCTGGCCCTTATTTGTCTTACACCAAAAAGAAACTTTTTAGTTTTACATGACCTGAGTACATCACACAGCATAGAGAATCAAGGAACATAAAGGAGCTGAAAATTTTAAACATTTTTGGTAAGCAGAAGTTTATTTCTTCTACTTTTTCATTGCTTCATCCAGTCTCCAAAGTTCTCAAAAATAACCGTAAAGTTCTTAGATATCTTCATTAATCTTGAAAATGTTTATCTTTTTTCCCCTCCCTTTCTTCCGAATCTCCTTCTTTCCCTAATCTACACTTACATGCTATCTCTTGCTGTTAACAACAACTCTTTTGCATCTTTTCAGGTGATACATTTTAGTGAATACTGAGGCAAAAGAACAATTCAGTACTTTAGGATTTCCACAGTTTTCATTCCAGGGGAACAACACTGTCCCTTCTCTCACCTCCTCTATCTTTAACCTCCCTCCTACAAAACAATTTAACATTGCCTGTAGTCTTTTTGCTGTTCTGTGCCAAGGTATTCTTGATTTTGCCCCAGTATTCCTGCGCCATTCATTCACCAAGGAATCAGATTGTATCCTTCTTATTGAACTATTTCATTTCATGGATCCCTAGCTTGAAACCCTCAAAATGATGTGCAAAGCCACAGCTGAAGGGAGTAGGCATTACCCTTCTAATGTGTAGAGTGCTACCTAAATCACGGTCTTACATTCCTAGAACATTTATTTCTCAAACATTATTCTCAAAAAGAGTATTTTTAGCTTAAATTATGCTTATTTGCCATTTCTGTTTTCTATTAAGATGGTAAAGCTATTATGTCATAAAAACCCCAGAACATACCCTGATTAAATACAAAGCAAAGAGTAACTTGTGATTAAATTCTAATATGTGTATTTAAAGCAGATTAAAACTGCAGAGTTTGGGGTATCTATTTAAAATTGAATCTAAATCAAATATACAATAGAATCATCATGATAAAGTATGGTTAATTTAAACAATATAAGGATGTATTTTAGGAAACAAATAGAACACAGTATATATTTTATACTTATGTGATTCAAGGCAAATATAATAGGGAGTCCCACTCCTTCAATTACCTTATTTTGTAATATTTGCATTCTTTTTTTCAGATTAATGCACTTCATTTAAAATGTGCATAACAAGTTGCTTAAGAAGTATAAATCTCAAATCTATAATGCATTAAAATATAAAAACTACTCAGAAGAGAGCTTTGAGTTATGAACTCTGAATTGTAAGTTATTCATAAGTTTACACTTCAAAATAGAGTACCAGTATATGAAGGGAAATGAAAGTGAAAGCATCTGGCTCATAATAAAACCTTTTAAAATATTTGCTTATTCAAACTTCACATTTTTTCTTTCAAATTTTTAATGATTTATGCAATTATTTAAACTGAGATTTTGATTGAAAAAGCAATATAAGATTATTCCTTCAGTGATCTTACATAATTTGAGTTATGAGGGTGTAAGACATTCCTTTTAAGTATTTGAAAACCAAGAAAAATATATAATTTTCTTGACTATCCTATTGAACTTGACAAGTCTGAAATATTGAACAGTTTGGAGAAAAATAATATTTTGAATTCATCCCCAGAAATGGTAAATAAATATTTTTGGATGATTATGTTTAAAAATAAAAACATTTATACAAAAATACAATTGATGGGAAAGTAGCAAACAAAAATATCAACATCTGCCTCTATAGGAAGTATTTATACAATGTATGCACCACAATACCTGTATATGCAAACTGAACAAGGTCCCACAGCGCATTGGGGTCTATGCCTTCCATTTTGATCTCTTCTTGCTTGGCTTCACAAACATCACTTGTAAACATGGCAGCAAAGTAGTCAGAGACAGAACTGAGGACAAGTCTGCAGAAAAAGTAAGAAACTGGTGTAATTTGCTTGGATATATGTATTATAAATGTCACATTTTTATAAACTTCTTTAAAAATTATTTTCATAATAATTAATTAACTCATTCTGTATTTTGCTGCCAACGTGCATTAATAATCCTCCTAACATTTTTTAATTATTAGGAGGAATATATTATTAATGCATTTTGGCAGCAAAATACAGAATGACATTTGATTCTAATTTGGTTTTGCCTCCTGTGATATGAAGCAAATGGTACTTTAGTATATGACTATAAAACAGACATAGAAATTGGCACTCAGTCTTTCTGATAATCTTCCAATCACGCAGATGTTCCAACTGTTAACAAGATAATCTCTCAGTATCAAATCATCAATTTCATATTGGCAGGCATTTCATAATCCAGAGGTACTCTTCTTTGTTCCTAAAGGCTTATTTGTTATCAACTTTAATAAGAGCATGTGACTTTAGACAATCTATATACCTACTAAATATAATCTGCTAAACTGTTAGTAGCTTACATGCTACTCACTAAAAACACATAATGAAATCGCTGTGTAATACAATGTTTTTGTTAACAAACATGTCCAAGGAAAATATTTTGAAAAAACCTACAAAATGTTCATAGCTTGTTGTTTAGGGATTGGATATAGATAAATCAATACTGCAGCAGTATCAGATACTACCGTAATTACTGGGGCTTTAAGTTAAGGTATTCTTCCAAATACCATCTACAGTGAAATTTTGATTTTATTAGGACTAAATATTCACAGATGAACTTGAGATAGAAGTGTGGTACAGCTATAGATAGTGCACTATGTGCTTCCATAAAGATGGTCACATTTCTGGATTAATTTGAAAACATAATGTACAAACATATTAATAAAAAAACACTACAATCACAAGTGGATAACTTGGAAACCAAGTGAAAAACAATTAGCCTTTTGTATATTGTTAGCTAGTTTGCACAGGGCAAATTATTATTTTAAAAAATAGGGAAGATAAACAAGTTAATTCTTATCAGCCACCATAGTAATTGATTGTCTTTGCTCTCTTAGCTCACCCCGATAGCTAAGTAAATATGACAGCTTGAATTGGCTTCGTAATTTTACAGTGCTTTAAGCTGCTACATTTTACCAGCAAGTAGGGCAGACTGAAGACATATATATGATCCTCTAAGGATGGGAAATTATTAAATAGGTATAGTACTTTTATCACATTTTATGTTGTGCTCAACTCCAGGAATCATGAATTTTAGAAGGAAACACCTAATTCCTAAACAATTCACACATATTTATGTAATGACTAAACATCAAGGGATGACTACAAAAACATGAACTTAGAAATAGACTTTGGTGCTGCCACTAGAAACTCCTAATTTACTAATTTTGTCATCACCGTGGGACTACTACTTCTGCATTTGCTTCTTTATTCTATCTTATTTATATATTATTATATTTGTAAATCTCTTCTAGTACTTTTTCTTTCTGACCACTTATAAATAAGTGATTTTATTGCTCATTGATGCTTCAATAAAAGCATCACAAAAAAATCACAGAAAGTAAAAACGTGATGATTTGATATGAGATCAAAATTCTCACAGATATCAGAGATGAAATTTAGGTATGTGATGGAGATTTTCATTTGAGACCCTTTCATTCATGCAGATTTAATTTAATTTAATTTTGCATTAGCTGTTGCTTCAGATTTACTAGCCATCATTTAAATTCAGCTATGGATATTCAATTTGATCACTTGCCAAAAGCAAGGCCAAAACCCTTGGCCTGCATCCAAAAAAAAAAGGGAAAAATGACTGAACAGAAATTTTAATACACCAGCTAATGATCACTGAAAATATTTTCAAAAGGTAATATCTTGTATTTTAAATTCACAGGATTTATGTTCAGCAGTTACTTATTATAATCATACTGTGTATGTGTGTGTGTGTATGTGTATATATATATATATATATAAATGGTCAAATTAAAAACAAAAAAACCCCAAAAAACAACAGAGGTAAGGCAGAAAATAAATAACAGAAGGATTAAATCTCTTTCACAAACTTCTATAAAAATGTGTGATTTTCCACAGTTTGTGTGAGGAAAGTCAAAGATGTTATCTAATGGATTTAATCTGCAATGGAGAATTCAGTCTACAAGAGCACACAAGAGTCAGTCCAAAGTGGGAAAAATAAAGAAAAATAAATGAGATACATGTCAGGTCCTCAGCATTACCCATTTTTATTAGAAAATTATCCCTACTGGTTTGTACCACCTATCAAAGAAGATGGCTTAAATGAGCAGAAAGGTTCTGTGATGTAGCAGCTCACCTACAGAAGCAAGACAAGCTTTGGAAAATAGTGATAAAAAAAACTGGATTATTTTTTTCAGTGTCTTATGTTAATCAATAGTTAACAGAAATACTGAATCAGCTATTTCATCAACTTACTATAACCCAAGTTTCAAGACACTAACTTTGCCTCAGGAAGTGCTCTGCAAGTTGAACTGAAGAAAGGGGAACTTGCTAATTACACTTGATTCTGAAAGGTGACACCTTTTGTAAATCTTTATTGTATTCCAGGGTTGAGATGGAAGATCAAAAGTGAGAAATCAAAGAGATCAATTAATTTGTAATGATCTGCTGCTTTTTGTAGTTCAGAAGACTCCAAACAGCCCTAAATCTTGGTTTAAAGGCATGTTGACCTACTGATCAAGAAAGGTCAGGTGGCTGAGGATGTCACCTTTTCAACTTTGGATCTGGCAGTGAGAATACATAATAAACTCTTTCATCCTTGAGACTCATAGCAGGTAACTCATGGCTTAAAATGAGTTTGTGAACCCAGAAAGATTTTCTCCTGATTAAGAGACATCTTTCTCTTTACAACTAATTTCAGCCTGATCAATTTCTGGTTTCTTTTGTAAGTAATCTATATGACTGATTACAGTTGTGACCTTTTTTCCCGGGATATCAGGTTTTGTTTTAGTTTATTATAGAATATTTCTTTGCTACTTTCACAACTGTTTTCATGTTCACTTTTGATAGACAATTGCCTGACCACTGATGATACATTTATTAATTAAAAGAAGTAAACAAACCTTGATCACTTAAAATCTTTAAGAAAACTCTTACAATATTTTACTACCAACTGAGTAGAATATCAGATGTTATTTGCAGTAAAAAATCGTAGGCAAGACACTATTTTTTCTCCATGCATATTATGCTAATACATATATGAGCTGAATATTCTCAAGAACTGGGCCCATGAGAATCTCAAGAGGTTTAACTGGACCAAGTGCAAGGAGCTGCACCTGGGTTAGGGCAACCCCCAGTATCAATCCAGGCTGAGGGATGAATGGACACAGAGCAGCCCTGCTGAGACTGTCTTGGTGATGCTTCTGGATGAGAGGCTGGAATGCACACCCACAGCGGCCCAGAAAGCCAAACTTGTTCTGGGCTGCATCAAAAGAGTGGTGACCAGCAGGGTGAGGGAGGAGATTCTGCCCCTCTACTCTGCCTTGGTGAAACCCCACTTGGAGTACTGCATACAAACAGCTTTCATTTACAAAGATTCTAAGGAAAAAATTATAATACTTGGAATTTTTCCACACTACATTTTAATTTTCATTGACCTTTTTTCAGATGGCATTGTGAAAGTATGTATATATATATACGTATCTATAGACATATATATGCATTCATAAGTATTACTTATTTTAAAAAGCTGCATAAGTATTACTTATTTTAAGCTCTGAGTTCTGAAAAGAATAAAATCTCACATTCAATAAATACTGGTATAATTCACAGCATAGGAAGGACATCAACCTCTTAGAGTGAGTCACCAAAATGGTTAGTGGGATGGAGCATCTCTCCCATAGGAAAAGATTGAGGGAATTTGGCTTTTTCAGCCTAGAAAAGACTTAGGGATTACTTAATTGCTGCCTTTCAGTACCTGAAGGAGCCTTTAAAGAAAGTGGAGAGGGACTCTTTATATGGTCATGTAGTGATAGGACAAGGCAGAATGGTTTCAAAGTAAAAGAGTAGGTTCTTTCACCCTTCAAAGTCCATTTCAGTTACTGCACCTTTTTCCAGTCCATAAAGTAATAGCATTAGTATTCTGGTTTAATACAGTAATAAAATATGTCTAGCTGGAAAGGACCTTTAAGGCTCCTAAAACAAAAATAAAGCATGTGATTAGGCACATGATTAGATGCTCCTTGAACTCTTACCACTTCACTGGGAGGACTGCTGGAACAACTTACCATCCTTCTGCTGCAGAACCTTTTTCTAATCTGAACTTCCCCTGACTTCAATCCATTTCCTTGAGTCCTGTCCCTGGTCACCAGACAGATGAGATCATCTCCCCTTCTGCTGCTCCCCTCAAGGAAGCTGCAGACTATGATGAAGTCATCCCTCAGCCTTCTTTTCTGTAGGATGAATGAGCCCAATGACCTCAGCTGCTCTCCTTATCCATTTTTCCTTCAAAACCTTTCACCACCTTGGATGCCCTCCTCTGGACACGCTCCAACAGTGTGATATCCGTAAATTGTGGCTCCCAGAACTGCACACAACACTCAAGGTGTACCAGCACAGAGCAGAGAGAGGCAATTCACCCCTTGATGGGCTGGTGATGTTGTGCCTGGTGCTTCCCAGGGCATGGTTGGCCCTTTGCTGCCAGGGCACTTCTGACTCTCATTCAACTTACCAGCAACCCAAACCCTCCTTTCAAGATTATCAATCAAGGTTAAAATTAAAAGCTCATCTAAATTGCCTTGCTGCTCCCTCTGATAGCAGGAATTTTTGCTGTTGTTGTTGTTCTTTCCCAACTATATTACTTGAATTAATTGTTTTTAAACTCACAGACAGTGGGTTGTGTTAAACAACTCTGTTCAGATGAGTTTAGATGATACAGGAAGTTCCTCAAACTTTACATAACACAGAGCTGCTGTACTGCTTTTAGTCTGTGTTTTCCACATGGATCTGTTACTGATTAGTGACAGAAAACAGGTCTTCAGACTATTATGTGCATCTTCAGACTAATGTGCATTTTTCCTCTTTCGCTCCCTGCTTCTAGACTTTCCTTCCTTCTCTGCCCGGTTCTCCTTTCTTTTCTGCCTAGTTCTTTATTCTTTCATCTTGCCTTTCAGCTAAACTTTCTCTGTTAATGTTTTCCTCATTTTACTACTACTGTTTTTTTAACTTTGTCCCTCTGTAGTAGCACTCAAGATGCATTGAAAAAAGTTGGTATCATCCAGAGCAGTGAAACAGACAATGCTATCTACATTTTGTTGAAGGAGTAATATTAAATTTGTCTTCACATGTCATTCAGATACTAGTAGGAATATTTGGGTAACCTTACTAAAGTATTCCTTTGTTTCATATGCTATTGGTAATTTTCCAATAGTTCTGTACTACCTTTTCTGCCATGGTGGGAGTCCCCCATGATCCTTTTCTTGATTATTGGAAAGAAAAACAAATTTATTTTTTTGATATTAAGAGAAAACAGAAGATAAAAACCTGTATTTCTCATTAGACACTCAACTATACCTGACTATATTATAACAAGAACAAAAGTAGATTTCTTGTTTTCTCAACAAGTGCAATGGAAATCAGAACTGTAAGCTGAGGATGTAACTCCCCTTTTACATCTTCTTTCCATTTTCCGTTTCTATTGAATTTTCTGTTTTATTGAATCGAGTCTCTGTTATATGATAGTTTTTTAATTGGAGAGGGGCAGGTGAATTTTAGCGTTATATAACATTTGTTTTTCTTTTGTTTCCCTTCAGCATAGAGTTCCTATCTTGTTTTGTGCAGCATTACTAGTCGAAATGTCCTAATAAACTACAGTCTAAGTTTAGAGATGCTCTAACATTTCTGCAGTCCTAGATGGAAGTTTTAATGAACTTTCCAGCAAAAATATTAAGATCCATCTATCATTTGCAGTGACTTTAGCTCTTTTCTTCCCAGGACTTTTGATACTTCTTCAGCAGCTGTAGAATACCGCATTTCAAGCACAGCTATCTAAAACCAGTGCAATTAATATAAATTGCCTTCACTCAAGACCACTAAATCATTGATGGCAAACACATACTTAATTTTATGTTGACCCATGTGATTATTACTTGATTAACAATTTTCATTTACTCTGATAGTGCCACTATATTTCTGAACAATATTTACTTCCTAAATGCACAACAGAAGTACATGGAAAAGGAAAGCAGAGATGAATGATGCAGGAGAAATATAGAAACATTGCGTCAATGTAAAAAAATTGAATTAGAGAGGCCCAAAGGTCAGGCACAGATGAAGACAGCAAGGGATTTGATAGTAAAGAAGAGTTTCTGTAAATACCTTGGAAGCAAATGCAAAACTTTTAAAAGATTTTGTGAACTGCTCAAAAAAGCTTTATTTGGCACAGTCTTTTGTTTATTATGTTTGGAGGACAAGTTTAAAGTGAAATACCAGAGTAAGCTCTACAATATTACCGAAGGACCACTCTCTCCTATCTGTAATGGATCATGACAATTTCAGGAGGTTTCTAAGAACTGGAAAAGTCAATTTTCATGTAAATCCCTAAGCAAAAGGATGTAGCTACACATAGACTTGTTTGCCTCACCAAGATCATGGAGCAAATTTGCCTGGATGACACATCCTGCACCACTAAAAACAGTGAAGATAATAAAAACTGGAACAGGTTAACAAGAGAAGAATGTCCACAAGAGATGATAATTAAAAATTAACTATGTATGACCTCAATGGTCTAACCTTGCAGTTGACCCTGCTTTGAGCAGGGAAAGTTGAATCTGTAATTTCTAGGATTGTAATGACTATAGTAAAAGAAGCAGCTCACTGTGCTTGTCCAGATACACCTGTCTAAACAAACATAGAATAAACACTACCAAAACTTTTCCAGTTATTTGAAATTTGGAATTTTGACTACAGACCACACACACAGAAGTAGAAAATTACATGTAAAGGTGTCCAAAAGTTTATTAAAAAATCTAAATAGGATTAGGGGCATTATTTCATGGTTAGTCTTCTTATTAGGGCATGTTTTCAGCTCAGGATTTATATACACTGTAGAATTGAAATGACAAATGTGAAATTAAATTTACTACTAAAAGGTATGCATCCAAACTTGAAAAGCTGTATTAAAAATAGGGGAAATGAAAGAAACTAATTTACAAAACCCTATTATTTAAATATATTAATGAAGTTTCTGTCTGGTTTTACATCTTAGCATTTGGAAAATAACTTTGGCTCTGCAGTCTTATATACTGCATTTTTTTTCTTTTACTCACTATTGTAGGAGTTAAAATATAGACTATTCAGCTTCTTTATTTAACAGGAATAGTCTCTGTGTCCATATTCACTCAGGGCAAAAGGAACATTGTAAGGTCCAAGTTGTTAAGATGCCCTTAGAGTATTCCTCTGCACCACAAAGTTAATTTGTGAGTTCAGAAATGCACTGGCTGTTTTTCTGACTTCCTGCTGGGAAACCATAATCCTGCTCTGAATTTAGTATCTCACCAGAGAAATCAGGATGCAAGCAGGAAATAGATTACTCTTGGTTTGCAGCCTTATGCAGAGTTCAGATGCAAAACTACTTGCTCACCTGGAAATTCTGAATTATTCTCTGTATTTTAATCTAAACTCTAGGACCATATTTTTATTTTCATGCATTAAATGAAAACCTATTTCTGAGATGAAAATCCCAATGAAGAAGAACTATTTTAAGTTTAATTTTTATCCAAAACCAAGTTTCATAAATACTAGCTGCTTTAATACCAGATAATCTTACAGAATTTTCGAAATTAAAATGTTCAAGAATTTTTATCCCAATAATTATAATTAAAAGTAAATAAGAATTTTTTAGTTCATTGAAAGGCACAGGTCATAGGAAGAAAGTATTCAGTATTCTATTCTAAGTGTCTGAGAGACTCTGTACAACAGACTTATCACAGGGTCAGGATCTTAAGCGAGAAATTATTCTGTTCAGTGTAGCTGTACCGCGCCCCATTTCAGAAATTCACATTCTCTTCACATAAGAATAGCATCACAGCAGGGAGAATTGTTAGTCATACTCACCATCAGTTTGCTAGTTGAGTGCTACTTGAACTTTTGAAAGCTGTACAAAAAAACCCTCACCTTCAAAGCCCCAACCTTCAAACTCACCTTTTCCAGCCACTTACACTCGTGTTTAAAGAAAGAGGAAATAATCATAAGGGGCAACAGGAAACACTGTTCTAAGAAATACACCGACCCAAAACATTACCTTTTGTAATTTCAGTTCTTTCTGCCTATCTCCTACCTGTGTGCAGGTATCTTGCGGTCCCCAGCAATCAGGATAACATCACAGAGCTGCTGCTGCTTCAGGTAGCTCTCCATTTTCCTGAAGGTTTGCTCTGCGTGGTGAACAGCCTGGTAGAATTCCTCGGAGCTGCAGGAATCCATGTCACAGTGGGGTGGCAATGGGTGGCTGGCTCCTGACAGTCTGCAAACAGCAAGAGAAACCCCAGGTTGGTAAGATGTGACCAAGTCATGACTCCATCACAGCTTCTAGAATCTGACACATGCAAATCAATGCATCCTTTGCCTGTTCTCATCACTTAAAGTACAAGAGAGAAAAATCTTACTGCATTGGGAGAGAAATGAAAAAAGCAATCCTATCTTTCCACTGATTGTGAGCAGCCACCCTAGTTCACTTTCTCAAATTCATATTAGTTTTGCACCCCATGGGAAAGAAAAATAAAACTCTAATTGACTTAATTTGTAATGAATCCTGATTATTTTCCCAATGAAAAATTACATATCTAATTTTAATAAAAATATTTATTAATAAAAACTGAATGAAGCCTGCAAAGATAAGAGTGTCTACATTTAAAAAGAAAAAAAAAAGAAAACAAAAACCAAAGAATAAACAGGAGAAAAATGTTTTGTTTTGTTTTTCATTATATAGACATCTATTCCTAGTTTGAAGTTACTCAGTTCAGTGTTGCAGTAGAAACTCAAAGTGTCAGGAAGCACTTGTCCTTGAGGAAATTATGAAACTATGATAGAATTTTGAAATAGTTCTCAACATAGATGATACCTTCTCTTTTACAAATATGTAATGAGATGGATTTAAATGAAAGCCTTAAGATTATATGTATGACTTGTAGTGCTGAAAATGAAGGATTTCACAGATGAAGCGAATTTTTTATTCTTCAATAGATATATACAAAAGATTTACATAATCAATAGAAGAGCAATAGACAACTTATCTTAGTCCTGCATATGGAAAAATATTATAAATCAATTCAAAACAATCCCATTTTATATATTCTATTGAAATAGAATTATTAAAGAGCACATAAAAACCACTTTTTATTTACAACAATAATACAACAGTTTCCTTAGTCATGGTTTGAATTCAGTAGGTACTACACACAAAAAATTATATTGAAAGATGTGTAAGAAAATGCAGTCTGCATTCCTGGTGCAGGGAAAAAAATTGAAAAGTGCATAAAAATAATCTTAAACATCAGAATGAAATGCAGCTATAAAAATATAAATAATAAAAAAACCCTACATTCTTGAGACATGCTAGTGATTTGCTTCTGAATTATGTTTTGTGCAAAAGTGTTCCACGTAGTCTCCTACAGTCACTGTACAGGGCTCAGCAGGTTTAAGGAGGAAGGGCTGGTCCATCTTTCCACCATAGGAATCACTGGGCTTCTCAGCACTCCTTTAAAGTTGCTGGAATCCTGCATAATTGAAGGTGACATGCAGGTAATTTCCCAGGGAAACAACACAGCTACTTCTGTATCTCACTCCCCAACCACTTATTCTATGCCATGTACAGGTACTAACTTAACAGAATCAGTTATGATTTAAAATTAAGTATAGTGAAGTTAACGTCACTTAAAATTCATTTAAAATAAGTAAATTCACTTTTGTAACATTAAGTTAGATAGCAAAAAATTATCAGTTGGATTAAATTAGTTGATATTTTTATTTTTATGCGGCAAAGGTTTTCATATACCTGAGCCTGTATATAGGGAACTGAACTGGCAAAATGTTATTAAATGTGATTTCTCAACAGAAACAGTTACAAAATGATGATTTAGAAAAAAACATTTGCCCAATTCTGTTACAGGTAATATTGTTATACTGTCAAGTACTTAATGCCAGATATTTCCTCCTGGAAAAAACAAACACATTAATTCTGTGAGTGACATAATTTGCATATGTATTCCTATCCAATCTGGATCCCAACCATGTTGATCAGATATCCAAGTTTATTTTCACATCTTTGGTTGATCAACTGATGCTTTCCCACAAAACTCTACTGACAGACCTAAGCTCATTAGAATGGGCAGTGGGCAGATATTTCAGCTTTTTTTCTTTTTATTTTTATTTTCCATTTTATGTTTGTAGCCATACATAGATTTCTTTAGTTTTATTGCCGGAGAACTAGAATGTCAAATAATTTACAAGAAATAAATTAATGCCTAATAAATGAGGTTGATAGGTTTAAACAGACATGTTTCTTCCTCTCCTTTAGGGAATTTAGAAGTGACAACAGCAGTTCTGAGAAAGTAAAGTAACAGGAAAGAGCAGATCTTAATGGGTTCATATTGTTTGTTAGTTCAGGAGGTAGAGCTAGGTCAGCTTAAATTTGAAAATATAGGATACTAGTCCTGAATCTTTTTGCCTATTTAAAATGCTGTCTTTCCCAGGTCAGAAGAAGAGAACTATCCTGACTGAATTTATGCTGGTCCTGCGAACTAAGATTGCACTGTTATAAGCTTAGTCTATTTTGTTCTTGAATTGCTAGGCAGTGTTTGCCACAAATTTTGCTTTTTTCTGCTAGCCATTTATAAGCAACACTTTCTACCCACTAACTCAGTGTTTCTGTCACTTTGCCAGTCAATAAATGCTCAAAAGCAAGCCACCAAAAACTGAAGCATATTTTAAATATTATCATGAAAAATAGCAAGCAATAAGCTTGGTAGAAGACAATAAGTTAATCTTTTATTTATTTCCTAAGAAAGCCCAGATAAAAAGCCTGCTACTTATCCTATTCAGGAGCTATCTCTGTTTCATTATAAATGCTCTGTCTGCATAATCAATGCTTTAAATTCAGATAGCAACTTGTTAAAGTAGGAATTAGTCAAAGCAAATACCATTTATAACCAATTACCAGTTTGTGAAAGGCATATAAAGGTGCTCCAGGCCAATTAGCTATATGAAAATCACATTGTCACTTTGCATATATTGCTCTTGTTTAGGTGCAAACAAATCAAACCACAGATGGAGTGAGAGGCTTAATGATTGCATTCAGCAGCAATTCCAACACAAACTTGACTGAAAATTTCCGAAATCTTTCAAAACCCTTTTTAGCATTTGTGTACCTCAAAATCCTGTAATCAGTGAACTGGACAGACTCCAGGTGGACTTTTTCAATAATCTTCCTCAGCTGGTAAGTGCAAAGCCTGAACTCAGTGTGGAAATTTCAAACATTTGGGAGTTGTCCAGCCTAAAACACTTTAAATGACTTAGTTAATAGCACAGAAATAAGGAAATCAAACCTTTCTCAAGATTACAGCAATGCTACTGAAGGGTGACTGCAGTGTGAGAATACTAAAAGGTTCACAAAAATTATCAACATTGCAAATTACCAATATTCTTAAAAGGTTTTTTTTTAATGAAATGGCAAACCAGAGTGCATATTGCATAATAAAAAAAAAAGAAAATTAAAAAATCCACCTGAGCAAATTTGTACAGACTATTTTCACTGCTAAGAACAGTATCCTGCTCTTAAAAGAGAAATTATTAAAGAGCCTGAAGGTGTAAAGAAAAATCCAGTCTTTGAGCCATCACAGATATTAAAACAGTGTAAACAGAAATAAAAAAAACTAGAGAATCAAAAATATCTCACTCCAAAATGGTCCTCTTTTACAAAAAAAACCCCACTGATTTGAAGAATGCAGAAATTAAAACCTTTAAGCTAAAGTAATGTCATGGATTTAAAGAGAAAATGCCAAGGAAAAAAGAACTTCACACACAGATTTAGCTACCTATACCTTTCTTGTTAAACAATTAGTAAAACCGGTAGTTAAACCATATCCTGAACAAAAAAACAACAATAAATAGAGAATTTATATTACTTGAAATTATACCACATTTCTCTGTGTAAACAGAGGCTTAGATTTAGAAATATTTCCATTCTGGAAATGATATTCATAGAGGTGCAGAAAACAACAGATTCATATCACTGTGTATAGCAGAAAACTTTACAGTTTACTTAGGTATTTTAAATACTCAATTTTAATACTTTTTTTCTTCATTCCACTGAAGGCCCTGGCCCCAGATAAAGAACTCTTTAACCAGAAAATGTTGTATAATTTCATCATTACTGGAATATTAAACCCTGTCGTATTTAGCAGGTTTTTTTCAGTTTTCACTTATGCAGGATTGATCACACAAACTTATCCAGAACCTGTTCAGTTTAATTTAGTGTATATTATTGGGTACATATCCAAAATACATAGTCAAGAGACAAAATATATCCAGTTCTTCAGTGAAAGAAACATCGCTTTGCTATTTATAATTTGCAAAGCCAGAAGAAGTATTCCATATGTAACAGTGAAAAAAAAACTTCACACAATTCGTTCCCTAAAAATTACTTATTGAATGCTTAAAAATCAATAGTCTGTGGAATTGCACCATCTAAGATGGACTGTCAGAAGTCATGGCTCTCATTAGTGATCACTTGCAAAAAGGCAAGAGGGAGTTTCATAAAGACTTTAAGATTTCTTAGTGCAACAGCAAGGCTAAAGTTCTGTTTGTGAACAAAAGGTATTCTTTTAGTTCTGCTACCAGCAATCACATCTGCAACTACAGGCTCTGCCCAGACTTTCAGCAGGTAGAAGTGCCAAATAAAAAAATTATCAGAATATCAAACAGGACTTTTTAATTTTATCAGATTCACTCAGAGAAGAATTGGTCCTGTCTCAGACATCCCTTCTCTATGGAAAATAATAAAAAAAAATAAAGAATCCAGTGAATATTATAAACTCATTCTATAGGTAAACCTGCATAATGTATACTTTACAATGGTGTGTCCTCCTAAAGGCAACTTGTGAATCAAGATACTTGTAACTCATTCTTTGAGCACCATAAGGTAAAAGACAGTCATAGAACATCTGTGTGTCCAGCAAAATTGCAGCTGAATCCCCTACTGTTCTGTATTTCTGTACCTCCTAAGAGTATTACCAGACACAAGAAACAAAATACTAGCTACCAGTTTATTGTGTGATCCTGGACAAATTGTTTGAGGAGCTCTTCAGAAGCGCGGGAAGGACAATGAGAAGGGACTACGGTACCAATCAAACTGCTTCTATGGAGGAGAAAGAGTTCCCTTGTGTAGGAGCTGTATTGGATTTTGTAAGTGGGGGTGGGGTACAGGGGTGGCTTCTGTAAGCAGCTGCTAGAACTTCCACGCCCAGC